TATATATATATATATATAGTGGATAAAGTGTTCTTCAAGTTTCAGTAAAATCGCCCACTGTCTGGCTTTAGAACGAGACTGTTACAACACATTTTGAAACAAATGTGATCCCACTTTTCAAAAATGGTAATAAATATTAGCACGTCAATTGATAATTTCATGTTTACGTTAATCCTGCGATGTCTCCAGTGCCAATATGCACTTGTACTTGAGCACCTTTACCCGTGTTTAATCTTGGTGCGAAATAGATACAACAGATACAAACACATGTACAAGCACTGATACATGCGCAACGCAATAGCAATTGTTATTAAGTGCACCTATGTACTGTACACTGCTGTCTGCGCTGTCGTGATTACAATGCTCAGGTTGCTAGGCAACCAGCCGACGCATATGCATAGTACACTCCACGGCTCAGGTCGGTTCGTTGTGAGCCGATGTGTATGGCCTTGCCACTGTTTCTGGTCCGTCATTTGTTGCATTAGATCGAGGAGATGAGACTTTGTAGCACTCCGCTCATCTCGTAGTATTATACGATATTCCTAGCAGCCCTTGGCTGAGAGTGGTGCACATTGTTATATATTCTAAACTACATAGAGGGGTGTGTGTGTGGGTGTGTGAGGGGTGTTTGTATTGCCGAGGTGCACTTGTAGTGAGAATATAGGCTGAAAATGGTACACTTTATTATTTATTATAAAGTTACATTGAGGGAGGGGGGAAATTGTACTTGTAAAATATAGGCTGAGTGTGATAAGCTATAACTGAAGGCGTATACGACGTTGGTGGTATGCGGGGTTGCAGCACTAGGCTGTGGGGGCGTAGTGTGTTGTAAAGCTACGATAAGGAGAGTGTATTGAGTCACAGGTCTAGGGTCATAGTGGCAGTGCTGTGTCTATACACTAGGCCGAGGGTGGCATGTTGTACTTGTCACGAATGCTCTGGGTGGTTGTTTCGCGCCCCTTCCGCCTCTCCTCCAAAGCAATTTGCCTGATAGCCGGGACGTGGTGAGAATGCATGAGAAGGGAAACATGGAATGATTTATGACAAGACACACAAATGCTAATGCGTAGATTTTAATGCACGACATAGAAGCTCACAATCTGAAGAGTCAGATGGGCGATTGTTGAACGACAAAAAGATACGACAATTAACTAACATACAATGAAGTATAGATGAACAGACTATCGTAGGATATAACAACTAAAACACCATGTGAGAATTCAGGCTATGATTAGGCACACCAAAGTGACGAAGCAAGGGCAATCATTGGAAGACGAACGTCAGATGTGATAGAATGCACACACAGTAATCGGTGTGAGCGATCACTCAACGAGTAGCGTAGAAAGTGGCAGCTAGTACATACACCAGAAATGACATGCACCGTCATCAAGAAAGAACCGCAAGACACTCCAGCGTATACAGATATCATAAGGTATGGGCAATCAAGCGAAGACCAGGCAGAAACCACCAGCAGGCACTAAGAATGAGAATGTCGCACAGGCCCATCAGTCGCACAGAGTCTGGAACTGGCATCAGTATCAGTATATAAACTCGCTCAGGTCTACTATTGAAAGTACTTCAGTCTTTTCATAGATACACTCTGTACATGAGGTCTACTATTTAAAGTACTCCAGTCTTTCCATAGGAACACTCTGTACAGTGCTGTACCTACCTTTGTTCTGCTTTCTGGCCGTCGTGGGCCTGTGCTCTTTCTATTTTCTTCGCATTTTGAGAATCCTCTGTTATGAACAAATAGAGATTTTTTTGAGGAAGCAGTCGTATGCGTAATAGTCGGACGCAGACACGCCTCACCAATAAACTCAACCCAACTGCAAATAAACACTCCTGATTTATCGTTTATCGGCCCGTGCTAATCGCGGGAAGTAATACAGTATACCACTCCACGTGCACTCGAGCATTGTACGCAAGCACGTACGGCGTTGGTCGTCCTTATGACTGGTATATCCTGCACAGCATCCACAACACGGCAGTATGCAGCACGGTGCACACATCACAGCCCCCATCGTATCAGTTGACAGTGAAGAAGAATCCTATGTCTACAAGACTACAAGTGAGCGACCCAGGCAAAAACAGGCCGTTCATCTGTAAATAGGTATGCTATACCGGCAGCTAACGTCATACATATGCCCCGAGGGTTTAGGACTTTAGGGTTTAACTATTTTAGACCCGATTTGGAGAATAGATGATTCTAGAATGATTTGAAAATAAATGTGGACTAGAATTTTCGGGGGGAAATAAGGATTTTAAATCAAATTTTTCTCAGAAATTATTTACCCCCGGGGCCGGGGGTGTGAACTGTGAGGCTGAGACTCTGTGAGCAGATATTTGTTCAACGTTCTACATATTTATTTATTTTTTAACCGCGTGTGCGTTATACGACAAGAAGAGATTTTTATTTTTCAGTTAAAAAGCCCTACACAGTATTTACACAGGTCAGATATAAGTACGTTTTTTAAAAATAAATCAGAGTAACAGACTCACACACAGTTGCAGTGGAATGCACTCCATAATATCGATGACGACACAATTGGTCACCGCCTTCCAAATATGGTATGCAGACGTCAAGCATTTCAGCACGATATTTTTATTGTCCCGTAAATATTTTAGGTTCTACTAAAAATATTGACAGAAGATACTTTCTGAATATATTTGTTTACATGCAAATATAACACTTACAATATATCATGTGTACCATGTCAGTCGTGATAATGTGGTGGAATATATCAGTGTAGGCATCCAGACATACAATCATTGTTGAATGCACAGTATTGCAGTATATGGCATGAACACCTATAGCAGAAGTTCATTAATTACCTGGCAAAACAAGTATTGAGAAGTACCTCTAAAGCCTACTGATATCTCTTGTAAACCGCATTTTTACTATTCCCTGAAACATACTACAAATGACATCAGAATACAGACTGCAAGGTAGCTTGTCTACCAGTTGACATAATGAGATATCAGATCGCTCTCGGCCCGTTCGGCGGACTATATCACACCCAGAGGCAAATGAGCCCACAGAAATGCCATGAATTGGGACATGCTCGGGCTATCTCCAGTCATAACATGTACATAAAAATATACCACCGTATGCAGCGCAAGGAACTTGTCACACACGCAGAAGCAAAGGTACAGAAAGTGCCTCTCAGCATACAGGCACTGCATGCAGACCTTCTGCTCAAAGTATGCTCATATCTTGAACTGTCAGAGATCCCAGCACTAGCCAGAACATGCAAGAGTATGCGAGAATCAGTCTCGCATCCGTGTGTGCTGCTTCGCTTGTTGGAGATGAAACTAAATCACATGGTCGTTGATGTGTGCAAAGATAGCCGATTTGTTCGGCCATCTCAGGTGAGGGCGTTGAATCGTCTTCTCAGAGCTTCTCCACTCAAGGTAACTTAAGGTCTCGTTCAAACAACTCTTGACCATTCAGTCGACCACGCAGTCTTCAAGTGCGTTATACTTTTAACAGAAACATACATGCGAATTGTCTCACAATACAAAGGCGACCACATTTTGTTGCAGTTTGTAACTTCTCTCCGGCTATACAAGTTGAAAAGCTCAGAATCATACGTCCATGACCTCGACATGCAGGGTGGAAATCTTCGGTTCCATAGCCTCGCCATGCCAAATGAGCTCTTTATCGCGGCGTGCAAGACCGGAAGTACCGAACTGGTGATATCTCTTCTGACGGACGAACGCGTGGGAGTCAGTACCAGGGGTAACTGGGCCATGCAGACTGCCTGTGCCAGCGGACAAACTGGTACGTGTACATAACGTGTACAAAGTACGGCAAAAGCTATGTAGAGTGGTTATAAGTTATGCAAAGGCTATGGATAGTGGTTATAAGTTATAGCACAGGGGTGTGTATACAATGGTAATGTGTAGTAGTGTCAATATGGTATCGACGTGAATTTGCATATACTAAGTTCTCGATTGCGCTCATGTGGAACGACTCTTCAAAAAATCGATTTCTCAACAAACACTAAACACCGGCTCAATCTGTAACCACGCAGATGTGGTGCAGCTTCTACTGAGGGATACCCGAGTCGATCCCACTGCCAGTGAGAGCCTCTCACTCCGAGCAGCGTGCGAGAACGGGCACGCAGTAGTGGTTCAGCTGCTGTTGGATGATGGCAGAGCGGACCCCTCGGCACGACAGTACATGGCACTCATACGATCATACCGAAGAGGTCATAAGAAGGTATGGATGTATACATGTTATTATAGTGTGGAAGGTGTGTATGCTATTATAGTGTAGATGATGATGTGTATGCTATTACAGTGTGGGTGTATCCAGATATTGTCCACCTAGATTGCGTCGCATGTTAATCGCTCTAGTGTTGATAGGACTTCCAGTGCAATTCTCAGCAGGGTTTTAGGGTTCTAAAAACCCTAAAAACACAACCATCGGTTTTAGGGTTTTAGGGTTTAAAAAGGTAGACCTAGACAGCATACATTTGGCGATTGCTCGCCAGGCTGCGTTACAATATGTTTGTACGCACAGAATATGTCGCATATGAAAGCCAGGTGACCTTAGCACACACTATGGCCCTATTATTCGAGGCACATTTTCGAGGTTTTTGAACAACCGTGTAGTGGGCAAAGTATGCCTCGGCCAGACCGATTGATTGCGAGTGCACACAGCACCGGTATATGCGGTCCTACTCGACTGTCTCATAGGGGCAATGACACAACACCTATATATGCGATCATACTCGACTGTCTCGTACAGTGTCACAGGTAATGACACAACACCTATATTTGCGGTCATACTCGACTGTCTCATAGTGTCACGAGTAATGACGCAACACTTATATATGCGGTCATACTCGACTGTCTCATATAATGTCACGGGTAATGTGGACATGCGTGCCACATAGAGTGGCATGGGACGTACATTCCCAGTGCACTCACTCAGCACTAAATAAGATCTCCTCATACGTCCACGTGTGTGTATGCGTGTGGGCGTGTGTAGGTACTGCGTGCGTTGCTAAGCGACGCGAGACTACAGCCTGACGTGGCAGAGGAACCAATGGTAACCAAGATACGAGCATCGCAGTGGATAGTGCGCCCACGTCGTAGATTTGTTATGTACATCTGAGGGGTCTGTGTGTGCATGCACGTGTGTGCATCGTGTATGCCCGCACAGGTACGGATGTTTATAGATATGTCGTCCCAGCCTGTGGTGCTTGCGTGCATTGTGTAGCAATACACTACACAGTCCGTGTAGGTGTGATGTGCGAAGGGATGGTTTGCCGCAGGGCGAACCACCGGTGGTTGCTATTGTAGCCGCAATATTTTTATGTTATATTAACTTTTAAACGCTTTCTGAAGGCTATCAGGCGGTGTTAGGGGAGAACGCACCCAAACCCCCTCTGCTATGTATCAGTGAACACGTAATTCTATATTTAGAACACGGGATTCTATTTCTAGATACCGAACCCTTCCCTCTACACCTGGTGACCCGGGCCTAAAATTTCAGGAAGCTATTTCATACTGTGCGGACAATCTTTGAGACAACACAGACAAACAGGGTTGCAACTAAGACTAGAAGCCGTTTATGTATACGCAAAGCTATGTAATACAAACAACCCAGAGGCGGAATAAAGTACCCGACAGTGGCACAGGGGTGTACCAACGGCAAGTTACAATACGTGCTACATATGATGATTTATTGGGGTGTACCAACGGCAAGTGACAATACGTGCTAAATATGATGATTAATTGGGGTGTACCAACGCCAAGTCACAATACGTGCTAAATATGATTATTTATTGGGGTGTACCTAGGTCAAGTGACAATACGTGTTACACATGATGATTTATTGGGTGGTGCGTCGATGTGCTACAACTAAGGCGATGGGCTATTCCGATCGCAGGTTTTCCAACTCTTCTATTTGCGAGCGAACCCTGCAGAGACGTAACGAGTGCACTGGTTAGAAAATGACGTGTGTGGGGCGAGGGTGGCTGAAAGGCAACGCACACAATAGTACTATTGCATTGGTACAACATACACGATAGTACTATTGCATTGGTGCAACACACACGATAGTACTATTGCATTGGTACATAGCACACGATAGTACTATTGCATTGGTGCAACGCACACGATAGTACTATTGCATTGGTACAACACACACGATAGCACTATT